GAATTAGGCCAGGCGCGGTGGCTCAGGCCTGTAATCCCAGCACTTTGGGAGGTGGAGGTGAGAGGATTGCCTGAGTCCAAGGGTTCGACACCAGTCTGGGCTCATTAGTGAGACCTCGTCTCTACAATTAATCAAAAATTAACTCGGTATGGTGACGCACATCTGTGGTTCCAGCTACTTGGAAGGCTGAAGCAGAGAAAGATCACCTGAGCCCAGCAGGTTGAGGCTGCAGTGGCCGTGAGTTTGCCACTGCACTCCAGCCTGGGTGACAGAATGAGACTTCCACTAAAAAAAAACAACAAAAAAAACACGGGGAATTACAGCCCCTATCCCATAGAATTTTGGCGAGGTTTCAAAGAGACAGCAAGCCAGGCTCGGTGGCTCAGTCTGTAATCCCGCGCCTTTGGGAGGCTGAGGTGAGTGGATTGCCTGAGCCCGCGGGTTCGAGACCCACCTGGGCAGGCGAGACCTCATCTCTACAATAAATTCAAAAAAAATCAGCCGGGCGTGGTAGCGCGCGCCTGTAGTTCCGGCTACTCGGAAGGCTGAGGCGGAAGGATCGCCGGAGCCCAGCAGGTCGAGGCTGCGGTGGCCGGTAGAGGCCACTGTACTCCAGTCTGGGCGACCGAGTGAGACTCCAACTCAAAAAAAAAAAGGAGACAGCAAATATGAGCGACTTTGTGTAAAGACATAGTTCTAAAAAACTGGAGCTATTCCAATTATGTTTGAATATGTGAACAGCTTCAGATTCTTGAGAGGTCAGAATCCTGGGTTCCATCTTCTGAGAGCTCCATCCGGTGTCAGCCCTCTCCTTGGGAAGCATTGGTTCATCCCCTGCCCAGCCTGGAGTAAGCCTCCTATTACTTCCATTTTTTTCTCTGTCCTCTGTCTCTGGGCACACAGCAGCTCAATCAATCCTTGATGAATAAAGGAGTGAATGAATGGGAGTAACACAGGCAGGAGTTGACTGGGCCTTTTGTATGGAGCAGGAGGGTTCAGGAAATGATTATGGTTGTGCTTCAAATACAACTGGCCTGGTGTTGTTTTCCTGCAAGAAAACGTCCATCTCTTGGATAAAAACCTTAAGCTTCTCTCCTCTTCTCTCACCTACTCTCCACTCCTTGGCCACCATTAGCCTACTCTGGAAGGTGAAGGGTCTTGGCTCTTTTGACTTTGGCCCAAAATAACCTCCTCCCCCACTTTGAGCAAATGCTTGGAATTCTTTCAACAGGAGGACAAAGCCTTTCATCTGCCAATTACTGATAAAGAGAAAATGCAAATATCGAGGGGGAAGGTAATCCATCAAGGGCCCAACATTTATTGAGTGACCACTTAGGACCAGGCGGCAGGGTAGGCACTGTGGGGCAGGCCAAGGGGAACAAACCCCTGGCCGGTCCATTCTTCTCTCGGGTTTGCAGTTTCCTCAAGGTTTGTAAAGGGAGGGGATTAAATTAGGTGGTGACTCAACCCTTTCCCACTCTGACAGGCCAGGAACTCCCCTTGGAGGTGATATATGGACTTAGCTGTTTTTACATGAAGGTGACTGCCAGCGGACCTTTTCCGGATGCCGGCTTTGGGGGACACCATGAGGCCACTTGGGGAGAGAGAAAGGTCTCTGGGAGGAAAAAGAACAATCAAGAAGATCAAGGCTGTGCGCGGTGGCTCAAGCCTGTAAACCCAATACTGGGGGAGGTCAAGATGGGAGGATGGCTTGAGACCAGCCTAGACAAAACAGCAAGACTCCCCCATCCCTACAAAAAGAAAAAAAAGCCAAGCATTCTGTTTCTTACTTTATTTCACCACCCTCCATTTCACTACCCTTCAGCCCATGTGTCCTCCTTTGAACATGTTTATTTCATTACGGCACAGTAGTGAAGCTGGTCAGTATCTAAAGAGTGTGTGATGGCCAAGCCAGGCTCCAAGTTTGGGTCCCGGAAGCCCCACATACAAGCTGTGTGATCCTGGGTGAGGGGTTTGCCTCTCTGAGTCCCAGTTTCCCCCTTTGCAAACTATGGACCAACAGGAGTATTTCCCTGAAAGGGTTCTGTGAGAGAGAAGCGGATAAAATGGTCTCTGGCTCTTGACAGGCTGAGGGCAGAACCCCTCTCATTCACACCGAGGGATGCCGGTTGGATGTGCACAGCCACTGTGGGTAATTTTCAGTTTGGAAACAAATGTTGGTTTTTTCCAGCCTCCTCCCTACTGAAAAGATTCTTGCAGTGAGTGAACATGAATTAAAACAAACTTCAAAGAGTAGCCCTTGGGGGTTGGTGGGAAAGACGACAGAAATATGACAGGAAGCTTCAAGGTTAGTGAGGGGAAGCTGTCTCTTTAGGGCCTTCACCAAGCGGATGGTTCTCATCCCATCTCTGGTGGGGAAGCCACTTCCTCCCCATCTGTCTGTCTGTCTGATCGCTTGGGGTTGATGTGGAAGCAGAGTAGCCAGCCAGATTCATAATTTCTCTGAGCTTGAGGTTCCCATCTGCAAAATGACCTGCTCCAACTATCCCACGGGGCTAATGGCAGAAATAAAATGCCATGCTCAGAGCCTGCTGTGAGCATCTACAATCTCCCTTTATCGTAGCCTGTGCCCTGTCATCTTACCTGGGTGTTTGCCCTCAAGATCGGGCCTAGCAGGATGCAGGAGTTGGGCTGCTTTTTTTTTCAGGGCCAGCTTTTTTATTTAGGGCCAGCTTTTCTCAACCAAAGCCGACCTGACTGTTGCTCATGATGGGATTACAAGATAACCCAGGACTAGTTCTGGGGTTGGTCACAAGTCCTAGTAAGTGGACAGGGGAGCATGCCAGGACCTAAGGACACGCCATATATTTATAGAAGGTGCCGATGCCTGCCCTAAGAAGCCCTGAAGGATTAGCCAAGGGGCCCCAGTGTTCCCCGCGCCCGCCCCAAAGCACCATACCCTTTTCCACCGACTTTTCTCCTACTGCCGGTCAACGAGGGCTTACCCTTCGCTTGTCTGTGGGCTGCGTTAGGAGGCGCCGGATCCGATTCTTTCCGTATTTCACTCCAGAACATCTATTTCCTCCTCCTGGCGAGCGCAAGGACCTTTAAAAAATGTCCAACTTCTGTTTCAGGGCAAGTCGCCTAGTAAAGGACTTCACAGAGGCGGGCAGAACGAATGAATGAAAGGCAACGTCTTTCGGTCAGCTGCGGTCTGAAAAGGCTCTAGTCTGACTGTATTTCCTGTACCTGTATGTGTGTGTGTGTGTCCCTGTCTCTGAAACCCCGGTGTGTGTGTGTGTGTGTGTGTGTGTGTGTGTATACGCGCGCGCGTGCACGCGCTCGCGTTCCTGTCTTTGAGTCCCGGGAGTTTAAAAAGTTATGCAGTCCTTACAGGTATGGAGCTAAGCTAATTTCCTTCTGAGCTCCTCTAACGACTCTTCCATAGGGCTAATCCGCAAACGGGGGTCTTCGGAGGATCATCTACCCCTACCCCACGAAAAAGACCCGCATGCAGGCGAAAAGCAAAAACAGAAACGTATACATGCGAGATATTTTGCACTGGGGTTGGCCACGCAGGTAACGCGGTGGGGTGCACGAAAGAGAAGAAAGAGGGGTAGCCCCGGGCCATGGGGGCAGGGACGGAGATGGGGGGGTCGTTTTCGGGGGTGCCAGGCCCCGGGGGCTTTCACGCCAGCACGCTCGGCTTGCATTTCCGCGCCTCCCGCTGAGGCCAGCAGT